TACCCGTGTATCGCAAACAATCGATTGTGTATCGAAAAAGTGACCCGGCGTCACACAGGAGTCTCGGAATTCGGGACATGGAAAATGCTTAAAAGAGGCGCCAGCTCTCCCACTTACATTACGACTCTATGTACTCTATGAATTTTCCTGACGTTATTATGGGGATTTTCGGAATTCCATATCAGAATTTGGCTTGGTTCGAAGGACAGAACCCATGTTGAGCGGTGTAATTGGCCTCGAAATCCAGTACGTTTCCAATTAAAAAATGAATTATGACGGCAAGTCTGCGACGTCGCAAACCGAGATTAACGTTTCTGTAGTTGCACTGATGATATGAGGTTAGAAATACTAACCTGCTGCGATTAACTTATTTTAAAACAATTTGCAACGAAACAAAAATTAAATATTGTTATAACAATTAATATTTTATGAAATGGTCAAAATAGTGTCGAATAACAACTTTTATTCTTTTATTTTTGAAATATTTAGACGTCAAATTTTACCTACATCTGTTTCAATTGACGAAAATATTATAATTTATTCTTTTAAAAATTTACTTTGCAAAAGATCGAGGATTGTGCATCTTTATCCATACTATACAGAGCTACGTATCGATTCGCAAAACCTCTTTTACAGCGTTTCGTGTAATTTTCCTCATTGCATGTTGACTTCTAAACAAAATTGGAAAGACATTCCCACTGAATATCACTATGCAGTTTTGCATGAAATACAATGGCAAGAGTTCAATTATCAGAGGGAATAATATGAAAGTAAGTACTTCATAGTAGTAGGCACATCCAGTACTCATGAGGGCTGAGCAGGCGACATTAAAAGGCTGTATTTCACAAATAGGCAAAAACCGGCAAAAGATATTTGTCTCTACATCATGTCTAGGATTAGTACTAACTAGAAATGACCGCTTGAGACCCGGCAAAGGCCGGCGAAGTAGATGTTTTTGGCCGTTTAGTAGTATAAGGTCATTTTTAACACGAAAAATTTTGATCTCCTCAGAGTTTTGCACGCCCATGGAAGTGATATTTTTGTGTAATTCGTTGGAAAATTGATTGAATAAATTTCCCTCTGAATGAATATCATGGAAAGAAGTAGTTTTTTGAAATTGCCTGAGAGATCGAACGATATCACCCACCCGTAATGTCCCACATGCATCTCATGAGGGCTAAGCGGGCGACCTTTAAAAGGCTGTATTTCACAAATAGACAAAATCAAATTTCAAACTATCAGATTTCAAACGATCAAAATTTCCAAAAATGACAAAAATGATTATAATATACCGAAAATGTAATAAAATATACACGCTGTAATCATTTAATTTGTATTACCTTTATGTTAAGTACCTACATGTTATACTATTTTTGTAATACATTTTGCCAACATGATTTTCAATTCATTCTGCAACATTTCATTCCCACGTGGGAAATCCATTATAATCTAAAATCTATAATCCATTATAATGCATCATAACAGTAATGCCGCAATATAATGTCGTATAGTAAGACATCCTGTGTTCTCTGATTGTATGTTTCATACGTGCGAAGCACGTACGGGTCGCTGATACAAGAGAAGAAGTGATTCGGAAGAAATGATTTTGAGTGTGGTTGCGAAATACAACCAGTAATTTTGGTTTGTGACAACAGAACTTTCTTCCAGTGTACGGGTCACTAGAAACGAGGGTCGTACGAGTGGCTGATAAAATTGATCTTCGAATAACTTTTGATGAGCTAAGGAAATGGGTCCATCTGCATCTCATGGACAATACATAGTTGCCGTAATTAAGGTCATCCCGTAATTAAAGTGCCGTGATTTAAGTCATAAATTCTTCATCTAATTCTTTGTTCATCTCCAAAATGTCTGCTAAAGCTTTCATGCGCTTCTACTTGTATGCATGAATGAGCATATTGGGTATCCAACAAGCGGACACTTTTTTAAAATTCAGATGATTCTTGACAATATCGAACAGAAGTGCAAGAGCTGCGATACAACCGTTACATCTAGCTCATCAAAAGTTATTCGGGTCGCTTCATTCAAAAACCTCTTTTACAAATACAAAAACTTTTCGTTAACAATAGTATCACACGGTACTAGGGATGGTTACTTTTTAACGAACCTAATATTTCCCTGACTCAGTCCTAAATTATAGAATATACATTAATTTTCCAGCGATCCAAATAAAATCAGTGAATTAAAAGTTATACGCATATATTATGAGATATTCCGATTTATTTCCTGCAATATCGCCGCGCGAAGCGCGGGTTGACTGCTAGTATTTAATATAGGAGCAGGGTCCCCGCTTGATTTTTTGGCTTTCCTGTGCCGCTACTGCAGTTTCGACCGTTCAGGCCGCAGTTTAAGGGCGCTAAAGCCAGGATTATATTTCGCAGAAAAATAATTGGTGCAGAATAATTAAAAATTAAGAATCAGGAATTATATAACTAATTAAAAAAAAAATTTGGAAAATCTCGTCATGTAAATACAGACGATTCATAAACGCCTTCAATTGAAGCGTAATACCTCACGCGTTCAGGAGAGTTCAAATAGTTGCATCCTTGCGCCTTAGCAAGGCGATGGAAGTTTAATATTGAATTAGCGTCCCCGCTTTGTTTTTCGGTTTTCCTGTGCCGCTACTGCAGTTTCGACCGTTAAGTCCGTAGTTTAGGTGCTAGAGCCAGGGTTGTATTTCGCAAATGGTTAGTGTTTGCAGAATATTTGAAAATTAAGGAGTAGGAGTAATTTAACTAGATAATGAAAGGATCTAAAATCTACAATATAATGCAAAAAAATTTTGGGAAATCTCGTCATGTAAATACAGATGATTCTTAAACGCCTTCAAGTGAAGCGTGATCCCTCATGCGTTCCGGAGATATCTAATAGTTGCATCCATGCGCCTTCGCAAGGCGATGGAAGCTAAATATTGAAGTAGCGTCCCCGCGTTGTTTTTCGGATTTCCGGTGCCGCTACTTAGTCAGGGGGCATACGTAATCCCGTGTGCAGATTCGTGAAGGCATATTGTGTGATACATCAATCTCTTCGTTTTGATGTCTAGGAAAAGAAAATCGATGACGGCCATCTCAAATTTCATACAAACCCCCTCAAATTCAAGATGGCGGCCAAGATGGCGGTTTTGGGGTGAAAAAATTTAAAGTTTGCAAATACGTCGTGTCGGGTGTCGATTCTTATGTATTTTTGATCGTAGAATCCGAATTTTCAGTCAAAAGTTAGCCCAAAGGTCATCTTAAGGCCAAAATCCAAGATGGCGTCCAAAAATACCTCTTACGGGTACTAATTTGCCTATTCGGGTCTACATGCATTGTGAGGTATCAATTATTAGGTTTTCAGGGTCGTAGAGTCCGAAAATGAGGTCCATTTTCCGCTGCAGCTCTCAAGAAGCCCTAATATCAAAGATGGCGCCCAAAATGGCCACCGGTCTTGCGGATGAAACTGTCGTTCAGGGCAGCTATAACAAACATTACGTTCAAAGTTAAGTTTCTTGGGTCAAGAAGTTCGAATAGGAGATCAGATGTTTACTCCTACAAAAAATTAAGCCTCCGAATCGAAAATGGCTGCCGACATTGTTGCCAGTTAGAGGC